GACCCCAACAGACACTGTATATCCCTGCACCGTTACTAAAAACGGGCAAAAATGATATAATAGTGTTTGAATTGCATTCAGCCGCAGGTTCAGTTGAGCTTGTTGATACCCCACACTTGGGATAAATATTTAAAATACAAATTTTCAACCGATTTATAAAACCTATTTGACTATTAATCAGTTGTGTAATGTAATAAAAATAATTAATACTGTATTTATTTAATTATTAATCATAATACTATTTTACCGTACCAGATGGACGTTAGCTATTTTTAATCTAGTCAATTATTTATACAATACTTATAGTTTTTAATTTTAAATATATTTTAAACAAAATTATTAATTAGAAATAAAAATGGCTAAATAATATAAAATGAATAATATGATATTATCTGGTTCTGTAAACCTAATATGATTTTGTAAATAATATCAAACAGTATGTTATTTTTAAAACCAATCTACAGATAAATAGTTTATTCACATGGTTTACATAGCCATCCCTAATTAAAATGATTTATCTTATTACATGTAGGGAAGGACTTTTTTGGACATAACTTTATATAACCTAAAAATCAAAGAATAAGTAATTAAAAAATTAATTTTTATTATTATAGTTAACAGGATTTTGAAGCACTGGAAGTTTTGCAAAAAATATCATGAGAACCAAAAAATATGCTTTTAATTAATGAACAAAATATATAAACGTTATTATTTTTATTAGAAATTTATTTATTTATTCATGAATTGCAAAAACTGATTAGACTTCTCTAAATGTTATATCCCTTTGCAATTATGTATAATCAATATAAGCTCAATATACTGTAATATTTAAAATATTCTTGCAGTGTATAAATTTACTATTAATTGTCTAGTAGTTTATTTATGAATATCCAGGTAGAATTTTTGCACCACACAAAACATTTCATATCAAGTCTATCGTGACGTGTTTAGCTGTAAATTATGTTTCATATTTATTTGTGGGAATTTAACAAAAGCTATTTCCAGATAAATATTGAGAGTTTTATCAAACATTAAGAAAACAAAGGTTTATTAAAAATCAATTCAAAATTCATATCTTGCTGTGGAATGTATGATAAGAAAAAGACTTTGATACTTTTGATAATTTTACAAATAATATATGTCTCAATAGTGAGAACCAAAACAAATGCTTTGATTACAAAATACCAAACATTTTGTATAAAAGCTGTGATTAAAAAAACAAATCAGTGTTATATTAACGTAACGGTAATAGTCATAGTTATATATTTTTATAAAACAATTAATAAATTATTATACATTAAGACAATGAAGTTGTCATTAGTCTTATGTGTAGTATTAGTGGCGTTCAGTGTCTGTAGTAATGGTGCCGAACAGACAAACTACGAGTACTACACGTCCGGTGGTATCAAATCGGGTCTGAGGGCCGACTCCGTAGACTTCACTCTCAACGGAAAGAAAATCACTTTATTTAGCGGTTCTTTGCATTACTTCCGATTACCCAAAGACTACTGGAAGGACAGGCTATTGAAGTATAGGGCCGCCGGACTCAACACTGTATGTAAAACCTTATATGTTAAAGTTTTAACATAATTATAAATTAATTTTCAATACATAGATCCAAACCTACTCTCCCTGGAACCTCCACGAGCCAATCCCGGGTCAATTTGACTTCGAAACCGGTTTCTTAAATTTGGTTGACTTTTTAAAAGCCTGTAAAGAGGCGGATATGTTTGTTGTGTACCGTCCGGGCCCTTACATATGCGCTGAATGGGAATTGGGTGGATACCCGGCTTGGTTTCTAAGGGACCCTAACATGAGGTTTAGGTCTAACTATAAGCCATATCTGGATGCTGTGGGCAAATACTATTCAAAAGTGTTATCCCTTATCGATGACTACCAGTTTCAGAAAGGAGGGCCTGTTATAGCCTTTCAGTTTGAGAACGAGTTCGGAGGCATTCATAGTA